ATTGTTTTTTCCACCACTAAGTTTATTTGTAGGGCTGTTCCCAAAAACAGCACATTTTTTACGCAGTCATTGGAGAATATTAGTGGAAAATTAATTTTGAGTTCTTAAAGAGATATTTATATTAGCCCATACTACAATAATGATCCTGGCCTCTAGCCAGGAACTGAAGCTCTATTAAGCTAAGCACTCTACATAAATAACTATGAAGGTTTTTATTCACTCTGTCGGATCTGGCAAGATTTTCTTTTTATTCCTGAGTGCATTGAGCAGAATTTCCCAAATTTCTTGAGTAGAGGGAGTGGGTGAATGGTCTGTTGATAACACTGCAAGATGCCTCTCCCTACACCAGAAAACCTTAATAGAGAGAGATCTCTACTCTCCCACGCCGAATTGCTTTGCAATTATTTACCCTTAATGTTTTCTAGAAGCATTCAGACTGAAGTGACTCCATTTTAGATGTAAAATACAATAATTTACTTTATTAACTCTACTGTATCTTCATCTTTTACATAGAGGCATCCCACAGATAGGATAAAACACAGAATATTTTTTCATGTATAATTTTCTAAATGCCCCAAAGCAGAGTTCATACAGTGACAAGTGTTTGGGAATGAGAAGAAACTGAAAATACAACTGACCATCTTGTTGTGATTGGATTAATCCACCATGACATCTCAGTTCATGTAAAACCTACTCATTTTCATTTCACTCAGCACCAGGAAGGCATTGAGTTCATCCCATGAAAACACTTACTTTGTTATCATAAATATTCATGCTACTGAATGATAAATCTCATCTTCCAAGAAAAATTATTAATACCAATTAATAATCACATGCTTTATGTACTTTGAGAAGAAAGGGTGAGATCTATTAATAGGAAAAAGAGTGATTCTAAATTTGAAAATAGAAATAATTGCTTCTGATGTAATTGTTTCCCTGGCAGTTGTGCTGGGCTATTAAAGAGTAGATTGCATGAGAGCAGCTTGCAAATTACACCACAAGAATAAAAACAACACAGGGCAATGTGAAACAGAACAAGAAGTGACAAGTGTTAACCTACAAAGGAACTTTGTGACATTGCCAAGGTCACAGAGAAGAATCACTTATTCACTTAGTCAGGGAGGAACATTCTGTTTTCATATTTGCATCTGCAAATATGATTGTCCCAACTAATCAAACTAGGTGAGCATAAAGGAAATTACAGCTTCTTATCCCACACCGAGCTGTGTGGGAATAGCAGTGCTGTCTTTCCTTTGGATTTTCTACCAGAGAGAACGACGTTATGTAACAGGTTTACAAGTTACGTTTGCAGTTTCCCAAATAAGCATCTCTTGGGTTTCAGGTAGACTGAGGTCCTTCAAGGTCCCAGTGAGGTTATGGGTTCAGTACTGGGCCCAGATTGTTTAATTTGCCTTGGATGAAGGGGCAGAAGCCTCCTCAGCAAGTCTGATGATGACACAGAGCTTGGAGGAGCAGTTATCTCCCCAAGGGCTGTGCAGCCCTTCAGAGGGACCTTGACAGGTTGGAGAGATGGGCAGAGAAGAACTGTCTGAAATTCAACCAGAGCAAAAACAGGGTCCTGCACGTGGGAATAAATAACCCCAGTCAGCAGCACAGGCTGGGGGTGGCCTGCTGGAGAAGGATGTGGGAGTCCTGAGGACTCAGGACACTGAGCTGTCCCTGACCCAGCTGAGTGTCCTGAGGGGTATTCCCAGCAGGTCAGGGGTGATGCTGCCCCTGTGCCCAGCCCTGGAGGCACCTCTGGGCTGCTGTGTCCAGCCCTGGCTCCTCAGCACAGCAGGGACAGGAGCTCTTGGAGCTGAGGAAGGGCCTGGAGCATCTCCGTGCCCAGGAAAGGCTGAGGGAGCTGGGGCTGCTCAGCCTGGAGAGGAGCCCCAGCTGAGAGGGGCCTCAGCCCTGGCTGTGCCTGGCTGTCCCTGGCTGTCCCTGGGTGTCCCTGTCCATCCCTGGCTGTCCCTGTCCATCCCTGGCTGTCCCTGTCCATCCCTGGCTGTCCCTGGGTGCAGGAGGGGCAGAGCAGGCCCAGGCTCTGCTCCAGGCCCAGCAATGGCACCAGAGCCACGGGCAGGGGCTGAGCCCAGCAATTCCCCCTGCACAGGAGGCACAACTTGTGCCCTGGGCAGTGCCCAGCCCTGAGCAGAGAGCAGAGAGGGGCTGGAGTCTCCTCCTGGGGATATTGCAGAGCCCTCTGGACACAGCCCTGTGCCCGCTGCTCTGGGAGAAGGGAGGTGGCACCAGATGTCCCCCTGTGGTCCCTTCCATCCTCCCCCATCCTGTGTGTGCAGCAGAGCAGTCCCTGCTGCTGAAGTGAGGTTTGCTAAGAGCTGCCACTGCTGCTGTGGGCGTAGGAACTAAACACAATTAAGGATAGACTGTTCCTGTCCAAGGAAGGTCAAACAAGAACATGCATTTGTGTCTACCCAAACCATCCCTGCTATAAAAGGAATCCCCAGAGACTGAATTTCCCTGAGTGCTGCACAGTGACAGCAAGGCCATACATGTCTTCAAAAAGGGACACTGCTGGCTGCCATGGTCATTATTTTATTTTCTTCAGTTTCGACCTAACCTAGAGGCAAGCCCAAAATTCATTTTCTACTGCAATGCATGAACAAAGCTCGACCCCACAGTGTCTCACGGTGTGAATCAAACCCTGAGAAAAGCCAAGCATCTTTATTTGTTGTCTGGGCCAGTTTTCAGCAGCTTTCCTGATCTGTAAACAAGAGCAAAGACAGCAACCAGACCAGTTTGCTTTTGCAAACATTGTCAGAGCATGACTTTTCTTTTTTTTCCCCTTTCTTTTTATAAGATGAAAGAGTTTTTTGTTTCTCCACCCTCCCTCCTTTTCAACAAGAGGGAAACAAGAAGGAAAGTTTCCTTTTGACAGGGAAACAAACACTTGGAGAAAAGGCTAATAACATTTAAGACATGGACATATTGCAGACTTCTGTCCAGAAAAACACAGAACAGAGGATTTATATTCTGTATGTAGGTTTACAGCACACCCCAATTTTCAGAGCAATAAATCACTGCTTCAGTTCTAACCACACAGAGCTAATAAGGACAAAGAGTTACACATTTCTGCTTCTTTGATTTTGCGTTCAATCTCAGGTTCAAAGTTTTGATTCTGCTTTATATTTATGCAAGCATGTGGGCTGGGGAGATCAGAGGACTCTATTCCATCTCCCCTGCTGCTCCTGTGTTTTATGTAGGTGACAGCTTTTCTGCTATAATTTCATTACAAAAAATAATTGGTATCTGTTTGCCCAAGATTAACTGCGCATCTGTCTGTGTATGCTACACATAAAATTATGCTACAACTAGAACCATATATATTTTTGAATTAATGATGCAGCCCTTGCTCACCCAAAATCCCCACTAAGAAAAAAAAAAATTGCTTTTAAAAAGGCTGCAGGATCAGTAAATCTAAGCTAAACTTGACAACAGGACAATTCTATTTGGAAAGAAATTTTTATTTGGGAAAGAAATTCAAAGCAAATGAGCTGAGTTCATAATGTGCTCAAACAGAAAAGAGAAGCACACTCCCCATGCTGCCCGAATGGCTGACATAATTTTGCTTGCTTTCCTTCCCTGTTAACTTGAAAATGCAAATTGCTTTGCTGTCAGGGTACATTTGTTCCCACTAATTCAAGACACTATAACAAGCCAAAATATTTATTTTGGTTTTTTTTTTTTTTCTCCCCACTCCAATTTGTGTTTTATCATAGTGGGAGCATCATCTACAGATTTCATTTACTGAAACATTATGCAAACAGCCCTTATGGGAAAGTCACCTCCCTGTAATAGGAAAACTATCCATAAAGAAGGCTTTTAATGCTTTAGGATGTGTTGCTTCAAAGGGCCCAAAATTCTACTCTGACTAACACTTAAAAGACCAAAACACATATCCAAAATAACTGCTCAAATGACCCATTGGAAAAGCATTGGTATTTCAGAGAAGGGACTTGGATCTTCCCTGATTTTCAGGGGAAGGGATGGACACAAAACACGTGCTTTTAATTAAAACTGGATGAACAAACAGAAGCAGAGAGCACATTTTATAGTTCAGTCCTCTTTCTGACGCTGCCTCTTTTTCAGCTGGGTATATTAAAATATATATATTTTAATATTTTCCTTTGAGAAATGTTTCTGATGGTAACCAGCTTTTAACTAATCATCACTTGTATGTAAAGCATTTCTGCTCCTCTAAGAAAGAAAATGAGATTTCAGCTGATAAAACCACAAATAATTACTGTTTACCTGAAAATTCAGTTTTGCATTCTTCTGGGAAAAAAAAAAAAAAAGAAAATCACCATTTTTTAATTAGAATTGTTCATGCAGCTTAAAGGGCTGAAATTGGTCTCTGCCAGCCCCTAAGGTCTGAAAAAGCCCCACGAGTCTCTCCTTGGAGGAGTGGAGAGGAGTCCAGACTCACTCCAGTAATGAAATTAGGAGCCTCTTTGCCATCTGGTCCTTCCATGAGAGCTGCTCCATCCACAGCTTCTCTTTACCAAAACTCAAATGAGCTCTAAACAAGTGGATTTCAACTTTGGTATCTCAGTTCTGGGCCTAAAATTAGGTAGGATTAATCAGACTACAGAAACATGATGAGCAAATCCTTTGAAACTTTATTTCTCTTCACCTTCCTCATTCATGGAGCAGTTCATAATACCCCACCTTGTTTTTTTGTTGTCCTTTTCACACATATCTAATCTTGTTTTAGCCCCATTTGTGTCTGCTCTGACTTCTGTGAAGTCCTTTGGTTTACCACAGTACACACTCAGACTCTACTTTAGCAAAGGGTTTAAACATACAAATGAAAAGAAAACAAACCCACTGAAGCCCTTCCAGTTTCTCAAACACAATCAAAAGGTAAGTTATGACACCAAAGCCTTCACTACAGGCATCTCTCATTACAGTAAAAGGTATTTGGGCTCCATTTTACTCAGTATTCTTCATCCAGAAATAAAGGCAACCCTTACCATTCTCACCAGACGTCTTGTCCTTCCCATTCGCAGCCCCGGTTCCTTGTCTCTGTTAGAAGGGACAAAAAAAACACAAAACAAGAGGTTAGAACACACTTGAACATGCATTTTCCCCTTGGAATTCCTGGTAATTACAGCTTGATTTCTCCTCAGTACACTGGATAATCCATTCACCCTTGCGCTACGCTGTTTTAAGACACTGCCTGTGAACCAGGAATGCTTAGCTCCATTTCAGGGTTGGACTCTGTGATCCTGGAGTTCTTTTCCAACACAAACAACTCTGATTTAGGTCCAGCTGCATCACTCCATGTGCCCCTGGATGTAATTATCACAATGAGTGATACATATGTGTGTAATCAGGTTCCCTGCAGTATAAGGGTAGGAGCTACACTGCAGCATTTCATTTCTTCAGCTCCCTGCTGTGCCTCCCCTTCCATGACTCAGGAGGACTACAGGGAAGCCATGAGGTTTTGCAGGGACAAAATTACAAGGGTCAAAGCCCAGCCTGAAATCAATGTGGACACTGCTATAAAAAAGCCACAGTAACAATGTTCCTAGAAATACATTAGCAATGAAAGGAGGGCTAAGGAAAATCTCCAGACTTCATTTTGGCTAGAAGATTCATTTTCTGCTTTGGCCACAAGAGAAGATGGAACTTCCCACTTTAATTTACTTTGTCCAAAGAATAGCCTCCTGAATTTCCATGAAAAAAACCTGATTTAGATCACTCTGCCAACTGACAGGTGGCAAACACCTGGTAGTGTAAATATTCCCATTGGCAGTGTACCAGAGTGGTTACAATAGTAGGGAACTTCCCAGCTTAGGAATGGTCACCCTATGAAAATTATTCTGCATCCCCGAGAGAAAGCATCTCAAGGTGGATTAAGGTATTTAAAGAGCATGCCAAAAGTAACAACACTTATGCAAAATTATTCATGCTTGTGTGTGTTACTGAAATGGAACTAAAGAAATCAGCCTCTAGGGTTGTACATGTAAAAATCTGGGAATATTAAACTTGGGGAATAAAACCTGCTGCACTCAGCCTTCAGAGGCTTCAGAGGCACATCCTCAAGCACCAGGGCAGTGAACAGGCACAGAAGCACTGCAAACCAAATGTTCTTTACCGACATCTGGACAGTCACGTGGATTCTCCCATGAAAATTCATACAGCCATAGTTATCTGAAGGCATTTTCTCTAAAATTTCTGGTTAAAACCTTCTCTGTTTTGGTTTCTGTCTTTTGCCTTTCCAATCAGTGGAATTTGGTGTTTCCATGATGTTTTTTGTATATAGACTGAGTCATGAGGTAAGTACAAAACCTTCATTTGTGCTCTTAGCTCTGTCATGGAAAATGGAAACACTTTTTTTTCTCCCTTGAGCCTCAGAGCCAAGACAAAAACTTGGCCAATAACAGAGAAGGGGATTCTAACGGGATAAACACCTTTGACAAAAGCATAAGTTACCAACAGCCAGAAATCAATACATCCACCCAACAACCAGTTTTGTTTTGTGCCTATATTTAAAGTCTGGCTAATAATTCCATGTTTCAGCACTTTAAAGAAGATTTTAATGTTCATTTACAAAACACCTTATTTTTCTTATCAATAAAAAGGTACCTATATTCCTTTTCCTTCCCCTGTATATTTTTTAATTCTTTTTCAAGTTGTCTTATTTCCTGAGCATTTCAGCCTGTACTACTTAGACTTTATGAAAGCTTCTCTTTCCTCCCTAGGCTATACCTGTCAGGTTCAGTCTGCTTATGATGGAGTGCTGGAATATGGATTCACACATTTATTTCATGTCTCAAGATTTCCCCTTGGGGAGAGTACAATGTAGTCAAAGAAAAAGAATAAAAACTTGGGGTTGGTAAATTAAGGTTTTTCTATTCATGAGGTCATGGTATTTTTCTTGAAGTGTGAAATCAGGTGCAATATTCTGCAGCCATTTGTTTGATTGGTGACCATTGGACTAGCAAAGAAAGAAACCTGAAAGTCTGCCAAACCAGCTTCTAAGAGCTTTTCCTTTAGTTATAGACATATTTTGATCTATAAGCTCTGTGTTGTCTTCCAAGTGATTGCAATGGATTTGGAAGTGAGAATCAGCTTCTCATTGACAAGGCACTGAAACTCAGGAAAAAGCCAGATACAATGGGATCATCCTCCTGCAAAGCCTCTAGTCTTTTATTTCAATACATTCAGTGGACCTGCTTTTCAAAACATTTTCAAGGTACTGGTATTATTAGCAGCTGGAGTTTCTTTCTTCTTTCATCATCTTTCATGATGCTACTGCAGGTTGCAGAACAAAGCTGGGCTTTTTAATGTGGTTCAGAGCAAAAGGGGACTAAACACGAGGAGGGGTTACTGGGGCTATTTTCAAGAAGCAATGGATAAAATGCTGGTATAGAAAATATTGTTCACAGATGAAACAGATGAAATTAAAATCACTGAAATACAAGAAAAGCAATATTAATTTCTGGGATCTGACAGGCTGAACAGCCCCAGCTCCCACAGCCTTTCCTCCCAAGAGAGGATTCCCATCCCCTGTAACTTGCAGCCAGCTCTCTTCATTCAGAGATTGCTTCTGGAATTCCACAGCATCTTTTAAGGAAAGCACCAGGACAGAAATATTGAATAAACTTTCCACCAGGCATCAGAAACATCAGAGCTAAACTGAACATGAGTGCAAACCTGTACCGATTGCACAGTAAAACATGATAAACAGTTTTGTTGCTATGTTGCGTAGGAGGAAACAGAGTTTATGACTGCTTCGGGCTATATTAATTTTTAACTCAGTGGTTTTACAAAACACCAAAGACACATAATTAAAAATGTCTCCAAAAATCAAAGTGACTCCCAATTTGTCAGCAGAGGAAGTTGAAAAGATTTCTGCCATATGCTCAAAATCCCAGTAAGAAAAGAACAGGTTTGCTTTCCTGTTAAACTCTCACAGCTATATGCAGAGGCCATTTAATGTGGTATGAAAATCTGTACTAAATTAGTCCCCAAGGCGAGCAAACGAAGGTCAAAAGTGAACTTGCAGCCACGAGAACATTTCAAGAAGAATGTTAAATTACTGCAGCAGCTTCTCGACTCATTCTTCTAGCCCCTCTTGCACCCCCAAGCCTAATTTCTGCCTTTAATCTTACATTCTGTTCTTGTCTTAAAACAGCCTGACCTTTTCAGAGATGCTTTTAATTAGCACCTCAGTGTTAGGGATTGCAGCCCAGTGTTGATTAGAGAATTTTTGGGGGCAGAAGGGTTGTTTGTTTTATGGTGAGCCACAGAAAGTCCAAGATCAGGGACATGAAACTGCCAGAATGTTCTGACAAATGGGCTCTTCCAGATAATAACATCATGCTGATGCTTCACCTCAGTGCAGGGTCAACAAGGTACAGAGGGCTGTATCCCAGAAAAGCAGTGGCTGCAGATTTTCAACAGGATGTCTTTCTACATAAAAGAGTAGAAGAATAGAAACAAGTGGAAAGTTTCAGTGAAGTTGACAGCAGAAAAAATCAGCATAGACTGACAGGGGTGACACATATGAAATGTTATTTAGGATGTTCTGTATTGGTAAAGAGAACAGCTGGGAAATTTGTGCATATCCTGAGCTTTTCCTAAGCTTTGTTTTGTTACCCTAAGGTGTGACAAAAGGAAATACATGTTAGTACTAAGCAACACAAAAAAGCTGTGACTTTGCCAGCACTGTGCCAAGCAAGCCTTCCCTCTAAGCAACACAAAAAAGCTGTGACTTTGCCAGCACTGTGCCAAGCAAGCCTTCCCTCTGCATCACCACCCGTTCTCTGTACAAAGATTTCTCTTTAAGAAACATAAATGGAGTCCAACTAAACTATTTCACAAGGACTTTATTTTTTTATAGTATTCTGCATTAATTAAAAAAAAAAAACAAGCTCAGCTGTTTCAGCCTTAATGTGAAAAAAGTACTGAAAAAATACATTTCAAAGGTTTATGAAGTTTATGATCTTTCTGCAAATAAAAATGTCACTGAAAATTTCTGCTTAGGAACTTGTGATGTTTTTCAAGCAAGGAAAGCTTCCCAATCACAGGAGAATGATCAGGACATACATCAGAACCTAATTGAAAATCCAGAATTTAAGCAGGGGCAAGAAGCAAGCAACAATGACCTGAAATGAGGGGCTAGACTCAGCAGAATTTGGGATTTTAATATGATTATTTAGGTCAAGTTCTTTACTGGAGATTTCTGTGTCACTGCCTCTTTCTAACATCATGTACTGACCTAAAACCATGGCACGCAGCATTTCACACCTTGAAGTGTAAAAAAACATTACTCTTAGCCACAACACAGTAATAACTTGGTTTAGAAATAGATAAAATAAATCACAATGCTTAAACTAAAAATGAAGAGCAGGAAAAATTATATTGCTGTGACAAATGGATTTTGGTTGCTAAAGCTACAAGGGATCCCTGACCTCTAAGTAACAGGACTGGAATTTTAGTACTAGTGTATCTCTTGGAATTATGTATCAGAAAACATGGAAATGAACAGCTGGGAGAGATAAAGTGCACTGCTGAAGAGCCAGGCACAACTTCTAGCATTTCACTCATTTCCTTCTAATTATTTCTTCTCCAAACTGGTCTGCAGCACAGGCAGATGGCAAATCCCAAACCAACTGTGTGACGTCCAGGTTCACTCACATCAGTCACCTAAAGAACATCTGCAGGCAGAGCTGAAGAACCCCCGACAGGAGCTGGGATAAAGCAATAAAAATTGCACAAGACACTACACAAATAAACCTTCCTCACTCGTCTGCTTGCGCCTCCTTTCCAAGTTCCTCCACTCCTCCGCGCATTTTTATAGATGTGCTACTGAATATTTATGAAATGAAAGTGTCCTTCAAAGGCCACATTTAAAGGAATTGCAGCAGGTACACAACACCTAGCCGAGATTTTGTCAGAATGATGGATAAATCTGATAATGTGTCTGTTACTTCTGTCTTACACGTCATGGTGAGAAATCGCAGACCGCATTTCCTGCGCCGTCTGACAGAAAGAAAAATTATTTATCAACTTAT